CCATTCGCCAAGCCAATGCACACGGACCCAGACTGGCCCTCGTGGCCTGCTGGGGCCACGCCTGTCCTGAGTGCGCAGCAAAGGGTTGGCAGGAGACCACAGAGCAGGTGCCCAGCAAGGGGCCAGCGGGAACCCTGGTGTAAGTCCATGGTGCTGAAGGAATCACTTTTCTCTTAACCCCTGGGCTGCCGTGTCTCCCCCACTGGCCCTGTGTTGGATGTGGCTGTGTGTTCAGTGGGGTAACAAACAACTCCGCCCCCTCTCCCCGCCTGGCTGCCCTGTAGCTTGGGGGGGACACTTGGACCAATCAAATCCCTCTGTGTAATTAGCCTTCCCCCAAGCGGTCCACACGCGGCAGCAGGGAAGGTGAGGCCTGGCCTGCTGGAGGCAGCCTGCTGCCCCCGGGGACTGGGGACTGCTCCTAGAGCCAGGGGGCAAAGGGAGAACATGGGAGTTGCCGGGCACGGCCAGGTGATGCATGTCGCCCACGTGGGGCCCAGCTGAGCAGACAGAGGGGGTCAGCCCTGAGAGGGGCCCACCTTAGGGACAAGCGGAACAAGCCCCGGGCAGTCCCTGGGTGTGCTGCCCCCGCTCTGGCAAAGAGCTCAGCAGTGCGAGCCGAGGGCAGGCCAGTCACTGCCCAGCCACCCCCGAGTGACACGCCCAGTGTTTGCTTTTGGAAGGGCCTAGCGTCTCTCCGGGTCGCGCCCTCCCGCCCAGGCTCCTGGCTTTGCGCCGTCAGGGGGGTGTTGGATTGACGGCGAGCGTGAAATCCATGATCCTGCGGCTCAGATGGGCTCGGCAGCTCCCAAAGCCTTGCCACTATCCTGGCTGCTTCTGCTGGAGCTGGGGCTGCAGCATCCAAGCCCCATCGGCCTTATGTCTGCAGCTCCTGGTCTGACTCCCTGCACCTGAGTGCAGCCAGAGCTGCTGTGTCTCTCATGTGCGACCCAGTAATCTCCTGCCTCTGTCCTCTTCCGGGGCCTTGCCTGGCCAGCCCCCTTCCTGCCCCACTTCCCTTGGCAGCTACTCTCCTGGCTGCCAGAATTCTCGCTGGGCGCTTGCGAGGGCTCCCCGAGGAGCCCTGTGTGGCCTCGCTGGAGAGCTCTGGCCTGGAGTGCCTGGCGGCAGGCCGGCCCACGGGCTCTTGGCGGTTCTGGGGGGTGCAGGCCGGCCCACGGGCTCTCGGGGGTTCTGGGGGGCGCAGGGGCTCTGGGGG